CAAACACTGGGTCATTATTGCTGTCGAAGTTACAACTTGCTCCATGTGGTACTACAATTCACTCAGCAGTCCAGAAAGTCTACTATCTCAATCTGAGAGAAAATTCTTAAGTGCTGTTGCTCGTCTACTACGTGATGTATTTCCACTTATAAAAACTTGGTCTGTGAAGCGTCATTTTGATCCACAAAAGGATCTTGTGAGCTGTGGGGTGCATATATGTTGGTTTGCATATTGTATAGGAATAAACTCAGTTATCTCCCCTCTTGAAGATTGTTCTCAGTTCAGATTATCTATCTATGATTCTATTATTTCTATCTATCCTTAGTTTGTTGCTTGTGATATTTATATGTCCTGTTGTGAAGGCTTATCTTGATCTCATATGTACAATAATAGTTCAACTTGTTTATTTTTAATTCCTTGACTGTGAACTATGGTTCCATCTGTTGACCTTCATGGTGTATCACACTCTGTTAATTTCCTCTTGAAAAATTGGTTCTCAGCTTAGATATTTGTAATTCCAATGTTTCTGTGATTATTGCTTAGTATCGTTGCTTGTGATATGTATCTCAATATAAGTACGTTCTTGTATATATGTCCTGTTGTGTAGGCTGCTTATCTTGATCTCATGTGATGTGCAATAATAGTTCTAGGTACTTGTTTATTTTTAATTCCTTATTTGACTGTGTGAAAACTAGTTTGCATCTTGTTGATTTGTACATTGTAGCAACAAACTCTGTTAATATCCCTCTTGAAAAATTGGTTCTCAGCAGTTAAGAATATTTGTAATTCCAATGGTTCTTTGATTATTGTTTAGTTTCGTTGCTTGTGATATGTATCTCAATATAAGTACGTACTTTATATATGTCCTGCTGGTGATTAGGCTTTGGGTATCTTGATCTCATGTGCAATAATAGTTCTACTTGTTTCTTTATTTTTAATTCCTTTGACTGTGTGAAAACTAGTTGCATCTTGTTGATTTGTACATTGTAGCAACAAACTCTGTTAATCCCTCTTGAAAATTGGTTCTCAGTTACAAATATCTGTAATTGTTTCTTTGATTATTGCTAGTTTCGTTGCTTGTCATGTTCAATAAGTACTTTCATCTATCTCCTTGTTGTGTAGTCTTGATCTCCTGTGCAATAATAGTTCTACTGGCCTTTATTTTTAATTTAATTATTAAAAGGATTGTGTGAACTA